TTTACTCTTAGTCTGTTTGCATTGTGTGGTGCATTATGATTATCAATTAATATACATTGAACCAACCCTGAATCTCTGAGATGAAGCCAACTTGACCATATTGGATAAATTTTGATGTGTTCTTGAATTCAGTTTTATTGAATTTTATGGAGAATTTTTATGTATGTTCATGAATAATATTGTTATATACTATTCCATTTCTTGAGCCTTTGTGTAATTTTGATAACAGGAAATAATGTGACTTCATAAAAAGGATTAGAAAAGTTCCATGAATTTTTTGGGAATAATTTGAAGAGAATTAGTGTTAGAGTTTCTTTTATTGTATGGTGAACTTGTACACTGATTTTGCCTGGTTCTGGCCCATTTAAGTTGGGACATTTTTAATTACCACTTCTATCTAAGCACAAATTTTGGTTGACTTTAGGTTGTTTATTTGATAATAAGTGTGGGCATAAAAGATGGTCTAATCACTTTTTGAAGTAGCCAATGTTACTATAACATTGTGAAATAATCTATTAGCTACATAAATGGGCATGAATAGAATTAGCACATGATATTGCAATTATGCATAAATGTATACTAAGGAGTTGAACATATAGGAACACAAATAGAGAGTGTTTACAAGTTTATTATTCTAATGTATAAAGAGTAGAATTAACCAAACTAAGCATCAGTTAATGAATGAATAAACAAATTTTCTTATAATCATGTACAAGAATTTTATTCTTGCTTTAAAACAATAAGTGCCGAACTACTGTTCCGGTTGAATGAACTTTGAAAATGCATTGCTACAATAATGAGTAAATCCAACAAGTATCATCTAAATGTATTGACTATCTACAGTAAGAAAATACATTGAAATAATTAAAACAATATTAAGATTTATTTTTGCTACAGGTGGGTAGATGATTGGAGTAGATCACAATTAATAGATCAGACATCCTGGAACTTAGAAGCTTTTTTAAGGCAAAGGACACAGTCAATATAACAAAAAGACAGCCCACAGAATGGGAAAAGGTATTCACTAACCCCATATCTGACAGAGGGCTGATCTCCAAATTTTACAAAGAAATCAAGAAGCAAATATCCAAAACACCAAAAGATCCAATTGAAAAGTGGGGTCTGACCAAGACCCCCTGAATGTGGGTGTCAGTGAGGAGGCCTAGGTAATCTATTGGGCCTTGGGTAGTAGATCAGTATTTATCCTGGGTATACAAATGGACTTTGGGCACCCATCCAACAATGAGAGATGCACTCTCACCCTGGACTCCCAGGGGAGGGTCTAGGCCCAGCCCTGGATGAAATGACAGACTATGGACACCCCCATGGAGGGCCTCACCCTCCCTGGGGAAAAGAAGGGATATTGGGGGGGGGTTGGTGAGAGGAGGGGAGGGAAAGGGAGAGTGACCTGGAATTGACATGTGAAGCAATCTTGTTCTAATTTATATTTAAATTTAAAAATAAAATTAAAAAAAGAAAAGAGTCGGGCGGTGGTGGCGCACGCCTTTAATCCCAGCACTCGGGAGGCAGAGGCAGGCGGATCTCTGTGAGTTCGAGGCCGGGCTGGACCGATAGCCTCCGAAACAATACAGAGAAACCCTGTCTCATAAAAACCAAAAAAAAAAAAAGAAAGAAAATTGAGGTACATAACTAAATAGAGAATTCTCAATAGAGGAGTCTAAAATGACAGAGAGACCCTTAAGAAAGTGTTCAACATCCATAGACATCAGCCAAATGCATATCAAATAACTCTGAAATACCATCTTTCTCCTGTCAGAATGGCTAAAATAAAAAACACCAATGACAGTTTTATTCTGGAGAGGATATGGAAAAAGGGAACACTTCTCCACTGCTGGTTGGAGTCCCAACTCCTACACCATTCTTGGAAACCCGCATGGAGATTCCTCAGGAAAATGGAAATCGGTCTGTCATAAGACCCAGCAATTCCACGCTTAGGCATATACCCAAAAGATGCACATTCATACAACAAGAACATCTGTTCAACTATAATCATAGCAGCGTTATTTGTAATAGCCAAAACCTGGAAGCAACCTAGATGCCCATCGACTGAAGTGTGGGTAGAGAAAATGTGGTATATCTACACAATGGAGTACTTTTCAGTAGGAAGAAACAATGGAATCTTGAAATTTGTAGGCAAATGGACAGCACTAGAAGAAACTATCCTGAGTGAGGTAACCCAGTTACAAAAAGACAAACATGGTAAGTGCTAACTCATATATGGATTTTAGACATGAATCAGGAAAGTGACAGCCTACAATCCCACTGTCAGAGAGTCTGGGAAGCAAAACCTTCATACAATGACAGACAGAAACAGAGGCAGACACCCACAGGTAAACACTGAACTGAATTCCTGGAACCCAGTGACAGAGAGGGAGGAGTGATGAGCAAAGGGGTAAAGACTGTCCTGGTTTAACCAACAGAAACAGCTTGCCTGAACAAGGCAGAGCTCTTGGAACCCAGACTGGTGGCTGGGAGGCCAGCATGAGACTGATCCACAGTACCTGAATGTGGGTGTCAGTGAAGAGGCCTAGGCAATCTATGGGGTCTTGGTAGTACATCAGTATTTATTCCTGGCATATAAATGGACTTTGAGTGTCCATTCCCACAATGAGGGATTCTCTCTCAGCCTGGACTCTTGGGGGAGGACCTAGGCCCTCCCCTGAATAAAATGATAGACTCTGGAGATATTCCATGGAGGGGGGGTCACCCTCCCTGGGTAAGGGAGTGGGGATTGTGTGGAGGGTTGTGGGGCCTGCTGGGGTGGTGGAGGAGGGGAGTAAGAGGAAGCTAGGATTGACATATTAAGCAAGCTTCTTTCAAATTTAAATTAAAAAAGAAAAACAAAAAAACCAGATAAACAGAAAAAACAACAACAAAAAGAATAATACAAAATAAAGAGACTGCTGCAACAACTCTAGACACAGGTGTCTCCCACAGACAAACCATAATAAAGAATCAAATCTGGACTACATACTTATGTTAATATTTTCTAAATAGTAACAAAACATATGCAAAAGGAATATTAAATAACAAAAATGCTTGAAAATTGGGACCATTCTGTACTTCTAGAGTTTTCATTAGCTGTTAATTACCAATAAATAAAATCTGTCACATTGGAAGTTGAAAAAGTTATATTGCTTTCCAATAGAAGATATACAGAAAGAACAGAATCAGATGTTTTAATACAAAAGATATACATTCGAAATGAGAAACCCACAGACAGTGGTACCTGATATATTAATGTTACTTCATTTGGAAGATCTGCTTTGATGTCTAAAGAATATGTTAGAAAGAATATTAGAAGCATAAAGAATATGTAGTGATTTGGGCAGCAATAGAGAATTCCTTTTTGTGGCAGATTTTTTAATAAGAAACAATAGATAATGATGGAAATGATAAAAAATGAAGAAGACAAACTCAGAAAATATTAATATCAAATCTACAGTATTTAAATTTCTTTTATAATTGAAAAGGGTACAGATAAGTTTTTGTGATTACACCAGGGATTTTTGCCTGTTCAAAAACTAAACCACCAGCAACAAAAACGAAATAAATTTAACAAAAAATAGAAATAATAACAAAAGTACAAAATTTTCTAGGAGAGATAAAGGTAAAGTCTTTTGCAGACCTATTGCCCATAAAGAGAACCTATCTGTGTTCCCCAAATAAAAGGCATAAAGACATTCAAGTGCAATCAACAGATCCTGGTGGTCAAGGTTTCTTTAAGGGCAACTTTAATATCTTTGTTCCTCAAGCTGCAGATTAAGGGACTCATCATGGGAACTACGTTGGTATAACAGACAGAAGAGATTTTCCCGTCATTCATAGACCCAACTGAGGAGGGTTTGAAATACACAAGTGCACCTGAATCAGAGAACAGAGAAACAACAATGATGTGGGAGCTGCAGGTGTTGAAGGCTTTGTATCTGCCCTCAGAGGAGCAGATGTGCAAGATGCTGGAAAGGAAGAAACCATAGGAGATAAAGACAGTTAATGAATAAATAATGATGTTGATGCCCTCAAGAACAAAAATTATGAGAGCTCTTGGACCCCAGACCGACATCTGGGAGGCCAACATGGGACTGATCCAGACCCCCTGAATGTAAGAGTCAGTGAGGAGGCCTGGGCAACCTATGGGGTCCTGAGCAGTGGATCAGTGTTTATCCCTGGAATACTAACAGACATCGTGTGTCCATAACACAAAGAAGGATGTTCTCTCATCCTGGACTCTTAGGGGAGTGCCTGGACCCTACCCTGAATGAAATGACAGACTAGGTATCCCCTATGTGGAAGGAATTGGCAATAGGGTGGGAGGATGGGGGAGATGGTGGGGAGGTGCGGGAGCAGGGGAGGGAGAGGGAACTGGGATTGACATGTAAAACAAGCTATTTAAAATTAAAATAATAAAAAAATTAAAAAAGAACAAAAATTACAAATTCATAGACATATGTGCTCATGTAGGAGAGCTGGAGCAAAGGAGGAATATCACAGAAGTAGTGGTTGATGTTGTTGGCACCACAGGTCAGTCTCAGCACGCATGCAGTGTGAGCCACAGCATTAGAAAATGCAATAATGTAGGAACCAAGTATAAGATTCAAGCATAATTCAGGAGACATGATAACATTATACAACAGTGGATTACAGATGGCAATGTAGCGACCATAGATCATTGAAGCCAGTATATAACATTCAGAAATAGCAAAGAAGGAAAAGAAATACACTTGAGTCATGCATTCCGTGTAAGAAATTATATTCTTCCTTAATATAAAATTCATCAGCATTTGGGAAGTGAATATAGAACTATAGGAGAGGTCTATAAATGACAAGTTAAAGAGAAAGAAATACATGGGGGTGTGGAGGTTAGAATTCAGCAGTGTCAGAATCATCAAACACAAATTTCCCAATGTAGCAACAAGATAAATTGCTAAAAACACAAAAAACAAGGGTAGTTGAAGATCAAGCTTTTCTATTAATCCTACCAGAATGAATCAGCCACCAAAGAGACATTAACTGAGTCCATCTTCTATAGGGAAATCTGTGGACACAGAATATAGACTATTATTAGAGGATGGTGCACTCTAGTCATGTGTCCTTAGCACCTGTAATTTGATGGTTAGGAAGGTTTCTTCTAGCACAGACCTACTAAATAGAATTGGCTGGTATAGTCACAATCAATTTATCTTAAGCCAGAAAGCAATTGGTATCAAAATACATTACCATTTATGAAAAATATCACAAGATGAAGAAAAATAATATACTAAGAAGGATTCAACCTTCTTCCATCTCCTGTATTCCTTCACTATAGCCCTCCCTACAATTGTAAAATTGTACTCAGATACCTTCAGCATTGCAGTGCTGGTTCCCTCTGTAGATTCAACTTTCCTGTAGTATAAATGAAAAACGTGTGCCTAATCTAAAACTAAAAGAAAAATAGAGAGTCATTCAGAGAATGTTTCCAACCCCCTTTCAGAAAGTCATAAATCTGGAAGGCTTCAGTTTTGACCACATGGGAGAACCTCAACAGAGATGCTGCAGCTCCAGGGGTCAACCCCACCTAACACACTCTGATCCCTCTGAAGACTTTTATGTGCCGGTTTCACTTGAGTCTCATTTTTCCCAGGAAAAGGGAGACCCTTGCTGAAGCACATCATATACTATGAGATATAAAGGGTCTACGTTCAGATGGAGGGGCAGTGGGGGAGGATCTCAGAAGAGTTGGGGAACAGGAAACAGCAAACAGAATATAGTGTATTAACAATCTCTTCAGTAAAATAAAAGTAAAAATAGTGTTTATTCATTTAAAAAAGACAAAGTAAAGAAGGAGGGCTCTTAGTAAACCTGGAATTCAGAGCTCATGATTTCCAGTCTAAACCTTAGAGCAGTCTTATTTTCCTGAATATTTTTCAGATTCAAAAGTTTAAGATCTTTCAATTTAAAGAAAACATACTCCAGATAATTTTCCTGGACCAACTTCTAAACTGCAGAACATTTTTGTAATTAATACTTTGAGTCTTTTCTGAAGGCAGAGAAACACCTTATAGTTACAGGATGTGTGTCATTATAAGCAGGACATAACAATGTCTAGTCTCATCTGCAGAGTAGAATTTATATTGAACAGGGAACTGAGGAAATTGTATTACACCCTGGATCATGATCCTAATTTCCTGAAGGACCCACAATTATACTCATCCTTTCCATTCACTCTATAGAGGGTCCAACCCCAGTAAAGAGAGAGATAGACTCTAGCCTCTACAATTATTTTGAGATCTGAAGGGAAATCTGAGTTTGGGGTTCTTGATATTTTGTTTCCTGCAGTAATTTTGTTACCTGTGGTAATTATTACCACTGGTCTTGTTTCTGACCTATTAAATTCTGTGTCAGATTGTTGTAGAATTGTAGGAAGATACCTTAAGTGCTGTGCTGCCAGCACTTAATACATTTCTGAACAAAATTGTTCTAGGAGACATGCTAACCTGGAAGGAAGAAATCTCAAAGGATCCCAATCCCGATGAAGTGCTGAAGACAAATGAAAAATGCTGGGAATGCTATAAATAGTCTTTTCAAAGAGAATAAACCTACTCCAAGTAGGTATGTTGCTCATATTCCAGTTGGCGACCCTGCACCTATGCACGCATTGCCAGTGCTATTGGATTCAATAGGTTAAGAAAAATAAAAGGATATGCTTTTTGAAGAGGGACCTTTTTAGTGGGAGGGATAAGCTAGAAGGTGAGACTCAAGATGCATTGCACACATTTATAAATTTTTCAAAAGATAAATTGATGACATTATACACTTTAAAAGAAATTCTCAGGTATAAAGGTGATATACCTACAGTATTTTTCTTTCTGTTAAAACAGGTTTTCCTAAATACATTTCATGAATTAAGAGTTTGTACAATCTTGCATGTATTATGAAAACAAAGATATGGATTGATTTTTCCAACTTGTGATTAAGATGATTATTTTATCCACAGAGTCTAGAGATTAGAATAATCACAGTTATGGTCCCAAATGAACCTGGAAGCTGTTCTGGATCTTAATAAGCCTGAGCACTTGCTAGCTTGTGTCTCCCTGGTGTCACTGTATGTGACCACGGTGTTTAACACCAACAAAGGTGATTTTCCCTGGAAATCCATCTTAAGGACCCAAAGTGACACAAATGGGAACACACATACTGCTCGCTCATTCAGTCCCCTTAGAAGCCCAGCCTTCTCTTTCAGAACTACAAGCTGGAAAACCCTCTTGAAGGATCAGCTTTCCATCCCTTGGCAATCCACATCAGCAATTCTGAAGGCTTTGGAGGCTGATCCTAATGACCACTTAAAACTCTCAGACTGGGTTTGTAGTTCAGTGCAAAAGAATTTGCCAGCTTGTGAAAATTCCCGAGTTTACTCTCTAACCCTAGATCGGGTGGGAGGCTTGGGATACCTCCTTAGTTTCCCTGGAGACCATCTCCCTGATATCAGTTTGGTATTTTTGATACAACTTACATGAGTCACACAAATCTATCAAATAATGAGCTATTTTCTCCACCAGCTATTTTGAACTATTGGAAAAATCTGACAACTTTAGAATGACTCAGATCTGTGTAGCTGCACAGAGGTAACAGCTAACCAAAGAGGAGAAAAACAGCAAGAACTAGGAAGGACTCTTCCTGGGGGCAGGTAGAGGAGCCTGGAACAGGAGGCTAAGAATTTCTACTGACAGCTGCAGGAAGCTTAGAGCAGGAGACTCACCCAGGAGCAGCTCAGCTGAAGGATGATGGTCTCTGTCTGGCAGCAGAGATCACAGGCTGGCAGTGGCCACTGCAGGAGGCTGAGAGGAGAGAGAGGAGGACAAGATCCTTTACAATGAAACATTGATTTCCTGATTCCAAACTCAGAACATATTTATCTCAATGAATGTTTCACCCTCTCCTGATCCTTCCAGGGTTGACTAAAGTCACAGTCTTAATGTGGATGCAGCTATAGAGCTAAAAGGCATGTCAGTTAATACCAGTTCAATGCCAGGCAGGGAGCACGGTGAGTCTGCAAGCCACAGAATGACTGTTACAGCTTCAGGGAAAAGGAGAATCTGTGCTTCAAGCCTTCAAGCCGTGAAAAGTGATTGCAGTCTGGAATGAAGGAAAATAGTTACGTAATCCGTAGGCACTCTGTCTAAGACCTTTCAGTTCCAGATGTTTACCAAAGGCACAGTTTCAATCTCTCAGATGTCTATAGAGAGGGTTTATAGGCTGCAATGGATCAGGGTGTGTGGAGAATGAAAGCTCCATTTCTTTAGGACAAACATTAAACTGAGAAGAAAAAAACACAACAAAAACCTATTTTGTGAGCTACAGAAAGAGTGAAAAGGAGAGGAAGGGAGAGAGAGGAAGAGAGAGAGAGAGAGAGAGAGAGAGAGAGAGAGAGAGAGAGAGAGAGAGAGAGAGAGAGAGAGAGAGAGAGAGAGAGCAGAAATAGAGATAATTAACTATTAACCTAGAAAAATCTTCAGGCATCACATGCCAAGATGAGTTTCTATCAATACCAACCCCAGATTTCTCCCAAAATGCATGTACATTCTTGTGATGTTGGCTAGCATAAGAGGCTCTTACCCTTTAGATGTAAGCTAGGAGTCTCCTTGGAGAGTGTAGTTTTCATCTACTACCTCAGGTCCCCTCTGCTCATAGCAGCTGTAAATGAAAATGAAAGCTGCTATAGTCAAATTTCTAGTAAGATCCTTCCCCTTTGTGGGACCAGATATAAAGTTACAATTGTATGAGGAGGGATGGACTGAAATTTCTCGATAAAGTGTTGAATTTATGCTTGTGTCTTGATTAGTGTTTTGTTTAAAATGTAGAGCAATGGCTAGTTTTTCCCCTGCATGGTCCAACAAGAGAAAAAATTGGAGACAGTCAAAGGCACAGGATTTGTTTCTCGAGGTCGAATGTTGCAACTGTACTATCTAAAAATTATATAAACACTGTTTTAACAAGCTTGCTCAATAAGAGCATCCTCTCTGCTACATCTGACTAACAGGAAAATTCTGAGCATTGCTTTGGTCTATAGGTTATACCTGGAGACAGACACACATTTCTGCTACCAAATATGTTTCCTCTGAATTTGTGTGTCCTTGAATGTATAAAATTAGTAAAAATGTATAATAATCTCCTGAACTATTTTAGAGTATAATATACCAAAATGCATATGAATCTTACACACCTTTATGCAAATGTATAATAAATCCCAATGTCCTCACAGTTTCTCTTTTATGAATAAAGGAATTTTTTTCACTTGCCAAACTGGTTGTTAAAGAGAATGTGTCTGTGTAGTAATAATTTCCTGTGTTGTTCCCCATCGACTCTGTAACTGATTTCTGTTGCCTGCAGTACCTGGGTAGCAATCTTATCCTGTGTTGTTCCCCTCCACACTGTAACTGATCTCTGATGTCTGCAGTATATGTGTAGCAAAGTCAGATGCTGGAAAGGCTGGAAGAACTCATTCTCTGGTCTGATGGAATCAAAGCCTGGGCATGAAGTCGGCTACAGAGAAGATGTGAAGGTTTTCTTTAAGGACAGTGAATCAAATAGCACATCTAGGATGCTGCTATCTGTAGGATAATTATATTTTACCAAAAGTTTATAGACTCTTACACTTACTAAAACATCAATTAATTTTATTTACATGCTCATTTATGCTATGTTTAAACAGAAAGAGATTGACCCATTTCCTCTAAGATATTCAGTAAATTAAATAATCATGGATTGTATGGAGAAACATGCAATCCATTCTTTACCAACATACCTGGCAGTGAAACTTAATGGAGCAGAACAGTGCCCTGGATTTCTTCTTTTTAAATAAAATTATTTATTTAAATGGCCAACAACAGTTTCTCCTGCCTCCAGTCCTCCAAGACACCCTCCCCTCCCTCCAACTCTGTGTTTCCACCACTGAACCCACTTCCCTGTTTCTGTTAAGGAATGGTAAGTCTCCCTGAGTATCAACAAAATATGTCATATCAATTTTCAATAAGACTAAGCACTGACCATGTGTTAAGACTGAAGAAGGTGACCCCATGTGAGGAGTAAGACCCCAATACCCAGTAAATGCGTCAGTGACAGCTCTTGCTTCTGCTGTTAGGAGTTCCACAAGAAGATCAAGCTACCTTGTTGTGAAACAATATTTTAAGGTATACTGCACTTGTTTATGTCACAGTCTATTACTTTAACTGTGTAAAGATGTCTTACATTTCTCTAATTATGAAAAGCTGGTTTGCCTTGTCTGCCTAAAGCACTTGATTGGTCTGTTAAAGAGCAGAATGGTCAATGTTTGGGCAGAGAAATATTTAGGCAGGACTGGCAGGCAAAGAGAAAATACAAGGAATCTTTGCTGGGGAAAAAAGAAGAGAGGGGGAGGAGACATAGACTGTAGGGATCAGCCAAATGACAGACATATAGACATGGAAAAAACAGGAAAATAATATATACAAAAGTAAATGAAGGTAAACAGCCCTGAGGCAAAACATAGATAAACAGAAATGGGATAATTTAAATTAAAAAGCTTTCTAGAAATAAGCTAAGCTAAGGCCAGATATTCATAAGTAAGAAAAAGTCTGGAGTTTTGATTTGGGAGCTGGCTGGGTGACCAAAAGAAAAAACCTGCTGTTACACAACTGTAAAATATATGCAGAGTGCCTACCTAGGTCAGTCATGTGCAGGCTCCCTGGTTGTCAGTTAACTATCTGGAAGCTCTTATGAGCACAGTTTAGTTGACTCTGTGAGTTTTCTTTGCTGTCCTCGACTCTGACTTCTACAACCCTTCCTCCCCCTCTTCTTCAGGATTCCCTAGCTCTACCTAATGTTTGACTCTGGGTCTGCATCTGTTTCCATCAGTTGCTGAATGAGGCCCCTCTGATAACTAGGTCACACACAAATATACGAGCATTGCAAAATATCATTATTTCATTACATTATTATTTTCCCCTCCAGTCATGTTTGGTTCTTACCTATGTTTCTGGGGTCATTCAGTCTGTGGTTCCTGGTGTTCCCAGCAGTGTCAAGTGTGATTTAGTCTCTTGTGGCATGGGTCTCAGACTAGACAAGACATTGATTGGGCACTCCCTCCATCACTAGGTCACCTTACTCCTGCACATCCCATACACAGGACAGACTTCAAGTCAAAGATTATGTGGCAGGGTTGGTTTCCCACTCCTTCCATTGAAAATTTTACCTGGTCATAGGAGGTGTCCAATACAGGGTACTTATCTTCTATTGCTAGGAGTCTGGACTCATCCTTATAGATTACTGGGAGATTCCCTTGTGCCATGTTTTTGTCTGACTCTGAAACCCACATTCCAGTAGTCTCTTTCATTACTGTCCTCTGATATCCAACAACCTGATCCCTATGTTCCCATATCCACCTGCCCATAGTCCAATCATGATCTAACTTCTATTCCCTCTTCCCAATGAGATCCAGATATGCCCCCTTTAATCCTTCCTCTTTACCTAGTCTCTCTGGGTTTGTGGATTAGGGCATAGTTATCCTTTATTTTACAGCTAATATCTACTCATAAGTGAGTATATACCATGTTTGCATGTTTGTCTTTTTGTATCTGGTTTCCCTTACTCATGTTGATTTTTTTTAAATTCCTTATATTGCCATCAAATTTGTTGGCACCCTTGTTTTAAACAACTGAGTAATACTACATTGTGCAAATATATCACATTTTCAGCGTCCATTCCTTGGTTTAGTGACATCTAGGTTGTGTTCATACTCTGGCTATTACAAATAAAGCTGCTATAAACACAGTTGAGCAAGCATCCTTGTGGTATGATTGAGCATCCTTTGAGTTTTATGCCCAAAAGTGCTATAGTTGGATCTTGTAGTAGATAGACTCTGGGTTTTCTGAGAAACCACCAGACTGACTACCAAACTGGCTACACAAGCTTGCACTCCCATCAGCAAAAGGGAATCTTCCCCCTGATTCACATCCTCTCCAGAATGAGCTGTAGCTTGTATATTTGATCTTAGCCATTTGACAAATGTAAGATGGAATCTCAGAGTTGTTTTTATTTACCATTCCCTGATCATTAAGGATGTTGAACATGTCCTTAAGTATTTCTTGGCCATTTATGATTCTTCTGTTGAGAATTCTGTGTTTAGAACTGTACTCCACTTTTAATTGGATTATTTTGTTTACTGATATCTAACTTCTTGTTTTTTGAGACATGATTTCCTGTAGCTATCGCCACAGTTACCCTAATACCCAAACGAAACAAAAATATAACAATAATTCTCTATGTTTTGAGTTTTTAAATTGTGTTTTAAGGTACATTGTATCATAGGAATACATTTTTACGATTGTAATTTGTTTCTAATTTTATTATTGTAATTTTAAATAGCTTGTTTTACATGTCAATCCCAGTTCCCTCTCCCTCCCCTCCTCCTGCATACCCCCTCCATCCCCCCCAAGCCTCCTACCCTATTGCCATTTCCTTCCACATAGGGGATATCTAGAGTCTGTCATTTCACTCAGGGCAGGGTCCAGGCACTCCCCTAAGAGTCCAGGCTGAGAGAGCGTCCCTCTTTGTGTTATGGACACACGATGTCTGTTTGTATGCCAGGGATAAACACTGATCCACTGCCCAGGGCCCCATAGGTTGCCCAGGCCTCCTCACTGACTCTCACATTCAGGGGGTCTGGATCAGTCCCATGCTGGCCTCCCAGCTGTTGGTCTGGGGTCCAAGAGCTCTCCCCTGTTCAGATCATCTGTCTCTGCTGGTTTTGCCAACCCATTCTTTGCCAATTTGCTCATCGCTCCTCTCTCTCTGTCAC